TATGGAGTTAGCGCCATTTTCAAGCCCACAACAACGATGGATTGAAGTGAAAGACCCCAGGGATCCATTAAGTACTCCAGGAGTATACTGAATACCATGTAGTTGTGGTTCGTTCTACATCGGAACCACGAAAAGAAGCGTTAAAACCCGTTTGATTGAGCATAAAAGAAGTTGCCGCTATAGCTGAACAGATACATTAGCAGTTGCGGAATTCGCAGTTCTTGATAATACCAGAGGTTTTTATTCGATGCTAGGTAGATAACTTCGACCGTTGCCGCATCGCCTTTGATAGTGTCTGCCGCAGTAGCAGACGAAACGTCAGGTAAACAAATCTGCAGACTACGGCTAATAAACCCAGAAACATCAGATAAATTGTTAAACACTGGCCGTCAAAACTTACACACCATCATTTGAGTATTCTAAACTCATAAACAACAGTAGTAGTAGTAGATTATACAATGGGGTGTCAAAATCATTGGCAGCGAATAGGCTGACAGTATGCCAACATTTCTAGTGAGAGATCAGCTCACGCTGTAGTGTTTTTCTAATAGTTGGACGAGTCTACCAGCCCTTAAAAAACTCGCCTGAAGATGATGACATACAGTGTAACACATACTGAGGTTTAGTGAACAGATTTGCCGACATTTCTTGCTGAATACGTTTGTCATTGATTTTCACTACAAATTCTGATGGTATGAGGTATACAGTGCCTTCATTTCGAAACTTCCCACCCCTAGTACTTTGTTTTGCAGAAAGAATTTGCCGTAGACAAAACCAGTGCCAATGGTATTTTAGGTTCAACCTCCTTACTCCTAGCTACCTCCCCGTTAATAATTTTGAATTACATCCCCTATCTTGTAACTCATCATTTCAAATATCTTAAAAATCCTCACTCAACCCCGTTTAGAAAACTGAAATTGGTTGATCCGTTCTCGTAAAATAGGGTAAAAAGAAAATTAATTATAATAAATAATAAAATAGCTATTGCAATTAAATGTATGTACCTTACTCTATTAGGTGTTCAAAATGTTCACCATTGGTAGCTAAGCAAAAGTACAATCTATTCTCGAATTCCTGTCGGAATTTCGTTATTAATTTGTCTGCATGTGTCAGTAATCCTGTGTCTGAGGTCCTGCGGGGAAGTTTTGTATACCATTGTCTTCAAATAACCCCAGAGAAAGAAATCCAATGGCATTAAATCAGGAGATCTCGCCGGCCATTTCAGAGCGCCTCTTCTGCCAATCCATTTGTGCGTAGTGTGGCGGTGCGTCATCCTGTTGAAAATGTAAATTTTGTTCATCCAACAGCGAGTTGTCTTCTTCATCAACTTGGCGTTCTAAGGATGGTGTTATGAGTGGATCGATTACATTTTCCAATTCCGGTTAAATTTTCTTCAATAAAAATAGGGCCAATTATTTCGTTTCCCAGAATTCCAGCCCAGACGTTAATTTTTTGTGGATATTGCGTATGGTCCTCTCGATACAAGTGTGGATTTTCATTAACCCAGTATCTACAATTATGCTTATTTACAAAGCCATCAAGAAAAAAAGTTTATTCATCACTGAAGCAAATATTTTTTATTAAATTCGGGTCATTTTGAATTCTCGCAGTCATTATTTCACAAAATTCAATTCTCCTATCATAGTCATCCTCACTGAGTTGCTGAAGAATACTCATTTTTAAAGGAAAGAACTTGTTTAGTTTCAAAACTTTGTGTATATAACCAACTGGAATATTTACTAACTCAGCGATTTTCGAAATTGAAGTAGTAGGCTCAACGGCGAATTGGTCTAAAATCTCAATCTGTACGGCTTCCGTTAGAACTCTCGGCTGCTTTACTGCTTTGTTGCACACAGAACCGGTCTCTTCAAATTTTTGAACAAGGTCTAGAACATATCGGTGACTCACATTTTGGATTGCATGCCTTTCATTAAAAACCCGGGCTGTCCTACGAGCACACCTATCTTCAGCACCATAAATTAAAATAATTTCAGTTCTTTCTTGTGAAGTGTAGACCATTATGATTTGTATCACTGTCAGTGCAACTGACACCACTTGACAAACAGTTTGAAATCAGGAATAACTAATTCTGATAAATATTTTCACCATTTAATTGTAACTGATGCCTAGAAGCAAATGTGTGCCCTTATCTCTTTCAGCTAAAGCAAAAAACTCTGTGTAAAATAGAGACATAAACATACCGTTATTGAGTTAGTGGTAGCGATTCCATGAATTTCTGCATTTTGTTATAATTCATTTTCTTTTTGCCTACGGCAAATTCTCCCTGCTAAACGAAGTACTAGGGGTGGGAAGTTTTGAAATAAAGGCACTGTATATACTATGTATTCTTATTTCATTACTGCGCTATGGGAATTGAAACCACTTTGAATTCATATCGTGTTTCAAGAACACGCAAATCTAATTCAAAAATTACCCACCCTAACGTTTCCATATCATGCCTCACAACCTGTGTGGAAGTGTATTGACCTGTTGCATTAATATTCGGTTGAGTACATTACCAGTATGGAAAATTAGAGCAACATCCATCCGACTGTGTGACCTCGGTTTTTTGTAAGCCAACTTTGAAACGATATACATTTTCTGTAGTACTCACTGAGATGGGACAAAAATTAAATTTGACGATTTTGCATAGTAATGGATTTGATTGGAGAAATGAAGAAATATATAGGAATTTTGGTTTTGGATTCGTATCCATGATAAAAATGACTAGTTTCAGTCATTTCCTGATGATGTTAACCTGGATAGCGAGACGCGCTCTGAGAGACAGTTTTCTAGTTCTGATGTGGTGAAAGGGTTTTCAATAGATTCAATAACATTTGTTTTTTCTGAACTACACTATTTTTTTCAGTGAATTTTTTTACGAAGTAACACATTTATTCAAACTCAGGAAAGATAGATCTTTACAATTTCCAAAAAGGAGAATTATAAAATCCATCAATTATCCGTTGGTTCTATAAGAACATGGTTGTGGACTGCCCAAAATCCACAAGAAGGGCGTTCCGCTCAAATCGATCATTAGTTAGCGAGATTCAGCTACTTAAAACTTGTGTCCAGATTTTTACTTCCACTTATGCAAACTCTACAAGGAAAAACTTCATCTTTTGTGAAGAATTCAAGGCATTTCGTCAAATTACTCGAGGCAATCGAAGTCACAGAGCAAGATCAACTAATCAGTAGCGAAGTGGAAAGCTTTGCGTTCCTGTCGAAGAAGAACTTCATATCATACAGAGAAAGTTATCCGTAAACGGGGACCTGGAAGATAGAAAGAATTGCTAATTCCAACTGAAGGACGGATTCTTTATGCAAGATGATGGACTGCCAATGGGATCGCCACTTCTACCAGTTATAGCCAACATATATATGGAGTGGTTTGAAACTCTGACCATTGAAGAAGCCCCGAGTTTAGTTGAGATACGTTGAAGACACCTTCATAGTTTGTAACCATGGGAATACAAACCTAGAGACCTTCCTGAAGCACATTAACTGCGTATAACCTTCCATTAACTTCACGACAAATTGCCATTTTTAGACGTATTGGTGTATACCAAAAATCTATTCACGCGGTACAGTATCTGAATCACGAATCCAACCAATATCAATCTACCAAAAGAGGAATCATCAAGAACCTTCCAGGCTCTGTAATACGAAGGAAGGGCTCAAGAAGGAACTACGCATCATCAAAACGTCATTTCAACGACCATATTGTGGAAGTCGTCATAATCAGTGCTTGTCCTTTCCTACGTCAGAGGATCATCGGAGAAGATTAGAAGAATTGTGTTCAATTAGCAGTGCATGTTTGGACTATCAACATATCACCAAGTGGTCGTAAGCTGCATTGTCCAACAACGCATTCAGCTGAGCTAGCGTAGAGATATGCAACATATGGAAACCTGTAATCAAGCAGAAAACGGTCAACTCCCGCCAAACGGTCAACTCCCGTTAAACCGGTGAAGAGGAGAGAGGGATAAGTGAAAGCGCTTGAATGACCTATAATTGCGTGAAGATTACTTTGAAGCGACCAATGTTGACTAAAAATATTCTGAAATTATTGATATGTGTTCTTTTCTGAAACTCATGCAATTCAATAGCAATAAAAATATAAATGATAGGATCCTAGACCTTGTATTTTGCAACAAAATAGGTATCAAAGGTATTACTCATTGTTCTGATCCTTCGATCAGAGAAGATTTACATCATCCCGCGCTAAATATTGATTTTGAATTTCATACACTTAAATATTTGTTTAAGAAATCAAGCATTCAATTGAATTTCAACAAAGCTCCTTATGATAGAATAAATTTGGAACTCGGGCAAATAAATTGTGTCCATTGTTTTATGGAGAAAATGTGGATACAGTAGTTGCAATATTCTATCAAAAAATCAATGATGTGATAAAAAGAAATGTACCCACAAATGAACTCAAAAGAAAATNAGACAATGGAAGTCCGGACTAGTAAAATTCACCAAGAAACATTGTAAACCACTTTCACCAGGAAGAAACAATTTTTCCTATTCGAAGAAAAATCGAAGTTTCAAAAATGACTGGTCTCACGACCAGTGAGACTTACCCTCCCTTCAAATCACGTTCCAAAATGTACATGATTTTTGTGAAGCAGAAAACTAGACATGAATGAATATACGACATAACGACTAACTCAATTAAAATTACAAATTCAAAGTCTTTATTTCCTGATAGGAAATACTTCATAATTTTGAAAGTCACCATCAAATTGACACCAAAAATTAGTTGGCAATGTCGCACGCACAATCAGAACAACAAAAACTCTAGGAAGTGGAAGAAAATTAAATTTTGCAGTATGAATAAATTTTACGGTGTTGCCAAGTTCACAGCAAGTGTTAGTACCGTCACGACCATCGTTTATACTCTATTTTGAAAAAACTACTGACAGTATCAGTATCAGTGTGAAAGTCATTTTCTGATTGGGCGATTTTTCTGCAATTAACCTTCTTTTTTACAGGTTTTGGGATCCAGTACAGAATACCACTTCGTGAATCATGCGTTACCAGTAGCTAGAACGAAAAGGAGTATACAGCACGTGAGAAAATTGAAAGTTGATCCTCTGGTGAGTAAAAAGATAGTTTCTTGTCAGAAACAATTGTTTATAATTCCTTAGGCCTTTTAAAATGTGAAATGAATCAACAAGTTTTGAATAATTGTTTACTGAGGATCTATGCCAAAAACATCAGTAGATCATAGATCCTGACATATATGCTGTGTAGTTGAAATGTTTTGTTGAATTTATCCTACATTAGATGTGTAATGCTTGTTGAATATGCGTTTTTCAGGAGAACTTATCTTGAATTTCTTGAGAATGATATTAAGTATTGATATAGAAAAAATGTTTACTCTGTCCAATAATGTCAATGATTCATACCAATATATAATTCATGTCACAGAACACCCAGTATTTCTAAATACCAAAAATTGGTCTTCGTATGTATTATTGATTTCAAAAAGTGATAAAAATCAAACAAACCAGTTCAAAACTGAATTTTCTTTCAATATAATCGTCAAAGCAGCGATAGACGATAAAAACTTAAGTAAAAGAGATGTTTCCCTCTTTCACACATAGTTACGTCCTTGGCCAAAATGGTCTATATTCCCACAATAAAACAGTGTTGATCCTCACATAAGATTGATCAACAAAATCAGTAGCCAAAATATAGGTAATCAAGTAAAATCAGCAATGTCTTAATGAATAAAATACTATTCACATAATTGACAATACAGTATCTATTTATGATTCTAACGATTGTTTTGAGTGATCTATGTTTTGTGTCTGTGTGTGTTGCGTTTGCTAAACCAAATGGCATCTCAGAATATTCAAACAGTCCAAATGACAACATGTTTTCACATCTTCTCCTGCCATGAAGATTTGATAAAATGTTATATACAGATGCTTTTCTTCCATATTGCACATGATGCAATGGAAGTTATTAGGCAATATCTATCTGAACGAGTTCAGTCTGTGCGGTTCAATGCAATCCTGTCTCATCCTGCAATTATAAAAAGAAGAGTGTCCCAAGGATCAATCGTTGGACCCCTTCTATATACTATTTATACTTCGCAATTTCATAAACATAAACGTCACTTCTCAGTTCACTATTACGCGGACGACACACAACTTTACATGTCCTTTAAAGAAAGTGATTTACGTCTTGCCTGTGACCATATGAATTCCAATCTACAAACTTTGGTTTCTTCATCGAAGAAATTCTGTTTGACGATAAACCCATCTAAATCTAAAGCGTTGCTATTTTGACACAAAGGAGCACGAGAAAGAAACGAACACAATTCTGGGGCTCATGCTAGATAGTGAACTAAAATTTAGAAATCATGTTTTCTTTGTCATAAAAAAGCATTTAGTGATTTGAAACTTTTTTACTCTAATAGACATTTATTAACAAGAACATGTGGGATCCTGTTATGCGAATCCCTTGTTCTGTCAAATCTCAACTATGCTGACTGCATATATGGGCCTGCTTTATTGCAAACTGATAGTCGCCGACTTCAGGTGATACAAAATTCATGTGGTCTCCGTCTACGTAGTCATATTTCGTCTGCATTTTCTGAATTGGGCTGGATAGATATGAGAAAAAGGTGTTTACTTCATTTTTGTTCTCTTATACTCAATATTTTGTTGTTTAAAAAAGCGCGATATAATAAATAACATAGTACTTCTCCGATTTTTTTTACAAACTCCGAAATGTACCACTTTTTAATTGAATGATTAAACATGACAAATTTTATTAATTTGGATTGAATAAGCAGTTCGATAATGCTCAGTTTAGAAGAATATTGCGTATAAATTTTGCGTTTATACTGCGTATAAAGTTTGAAGAAAATAACTAAAATTGCAAAAAACTTATGACAAAAACCAATCGTGTTTTGAAAAATTTCAACAATCTGTATTTTGTAAAAGATTTTATAGGAAAAAGTTGTTTATTTTGCGAGATCCACCACATACTTGTAATGTTCTCAGCAACTTAACTTAGCTGGGAAGCTGAGTAATATGCATCGATATAGAAAATTGTAAATATCTCGAAATCAATCACCTCCAGCGTTGTTGAGAAAGTGTACCTTTTTTACTTGTGAAAGGTGTGGAAATTAGAATTTTTCGTGAAAAATATCAAAAGTTTACTGTCAAAAAAGTTAGGGCAATTTGAAATAAATGATGACAGCGTACGCAGAAATACGGCTAGATGTTACATGAAAATTAATTATAATATCCCACGTCAAAAAAAAACCCTGGATACCAAATTTCGTGCAAATAACTTATTTTTTGCATTCGAATTCAAATGTTTGAAAACTCCTTCAATCGGAGGACGGTGTTTATGTGGAATAAACTTCCTGAGAACGTTTTCCCAAGTGGATTCAACCTCCAGCGATTCAAATCCAATGTGAATCACTACCTTCGCACAGGCAACGCTCTAAGAGCGCCTCAAGGATTTTTTGTAGTGCTTGTGATTTGTTAAAAGAAAGGTTTCTTGAATCTTCGAGATTAACCGTGAAACCTGATAAACTACGATTTTATTATCACAGTAGGGCCTCAGGGTGTTTATTTAGTCCACGTTCACCAGTGAACTTGAAGTAAACGCAAGCAGAATGGTTTATTTCTCACACATGATATATGGCATTTCCTTTTCGGGATTTTGCAGCAATCAGAAAATGAGCCCAGTATTCATTCTGCAGAAAAATGTAATCCGAGGATCGCTGTGAATCGCTTTTTGGAAAACTCCTAAAATTTGTTAAGAAAGCAAATGATTCCAAAATGAACTCTTCACAACGGTGTGTAGTTCATGCAAAGAACTAACTTTCAGACACAAACTGGAAAAAAAGGCCCCCCCGAAACTACTACTTTCATATTCTCGTAAACATTGAATTACGTTTAAGTACTTTCGTTGAAATTTTACACACATGTAAACTAGTCATTCTCATGGGACATTTTTTTGTATGAAGATATAGAAGTAGGGAGCCAAAACCTTTGTCTCCTCGAAACTGATTTCTCTCAAGGATTTACTCCTTCTAATTTAAATAAAATAAGATTGCTATGGCTGGGAATAACTCAAGTGAGCATATAAATGTTATGAGGTGCTGTCATCGTGATATGAGTAGTTCCAACTCCTCCGTCGCAATAGCGAAACACATGTTATAGCAGGGGAGCCCACGATGCAAAATGGGGATTTACTCGAGCGTCATTCAGACATATAAGGTTGCAAAGCTTAGATGATAAGAAGAAAAAAATGTTATATAATATATACCTTTTCATCGTTGGGGGAAGCGGCTATAGATGTTTAAATATGTGAAAAATACTCTTGCATGGACATACTCGAGCCCATCAGATATTGATAGCATCAATGTCCTACGTATTTTTAATAANGATGTTTTTCAAACGAAATCAACTACTTTGTCAACAAAAAACGAACTGTAATCTGTAACAAGTTCTAGGAAAGTAAAGTTTGACAATTGATGATAAACGTATAATAGTAGATAAACATGTTATCCAGATATGTGAATTCACGTATTCACAAAAATTAAAGAACAAAATATCTAAATTATCGCTATTTTTGAAACATCTTCAACGGTCACGCAGTATTTTTATTATCATTTTTCATACATACATACATTCATTTTCATATTGCTAAAAATTTGTGACTCTGGTTGTAATCACACCTACACACAACCTTCCTCTTCTGACCTGAACAAACATTCAGATGCAATATATCTAACCCACATACTCCGCAACCAAACTCAGTAATCAAGCTTTATCAGCTCATCAGACCACTAGTATTGTTCCTAACAGCATCATTATATGAAATTCCTCACTTCTTGGTGAATATCATTCGAAACTACACAAACTTCTCATCTTCTTTCAGTATCCTGAGTATCGAGATAATAAAATTAGCTAAAAAACGGCCCGAATATATATAGTTTCGATCCGTGTTGTGTGTTTTGATACTCACTAGGATTACTTTCATAACGTTTCGGCAGAGTCTCATTTGCCATCTTTTGGTGATGTCAGGAGTTTGGAACCAGACTGATCCTCCTGAACTCTCTTATAGGTATGGGTAAAGGAACTTTTCTGCCAATTTATTTTTCTTCGAAGAAGTGGAAGAAACCCAGGTGAATGGTAGCACCCATATCTATAAATTAAGAAAGAGAGTTCAAATGGATCAGTATAGTTCTAAACTCCAGACATCACCAGAAGATAGCAATATGGAATTAGGTGAAAGTTGAATATTGGAGATGATTCTAACGAGTTTAAGTTATTTCATCGAATTTTGTAGCCACTGTAATAGCAAATTCAGCTCTGTATTCTAATATTGGTCTGTATTTAAAAAACGAAAGTGATGATGAAATCTAATGGGGATGATTACGGGAAACTCATCCGGCAGAGTGCGCTGAGTGTTTGTCACACTGGTCATTAGCTGTCAAAGTTTCCACCGTTATTTATTGATTTATTTGAAAGTTTCTTATTCAAATTGCTTGCAATTCAAGATGTATTCTACATGGCGTATCGCTCAGTTGAAAGAGGAGTTGCAGAGCAAAGATGCAACCCTAGGAGGGAAGAAAGCTGATCTAGTGGAATGGTTCATAATTTTGCATATTTGAACAACTCTCTCATTATAAAGACAGTTTTTTAAACCTGAAGTTGAACTGATTAATTGAATTGAATAATATGAAAATAACCCTTTCCCATTAAATTAACAATTCAAATATTTGTAATGAAATTGAAACAGATATCATGAACAGAAACGCTACACAACGACATATATGAAATGTGAGACTGGAGTGACTACAAATGAGTTTGAAACATTCAAAGACATGAAAGGCGGAAACTATTGAGTACTGGAGAGAATAAATATCTGATATATTTCATTATAATTCACGGTGAGAAGTTTGTTGAAGCCCCAGCTTCGCCACCTCAGTTATCTGAAAATTGAAGCCTGTTGTTACATGGCTGGGGTCACCAAATATAAAATTGTTTTTACTGGGATGTTTACCTTTGCAGAAAGTTTAAAGTTTTTGGTGTTCCCTCAAGTTGGCAATAGAAATCGTTAC